CTTGGTATATCATAGTCTCGTTGGTCTCGGCGACCCGTAGAGGCTGTTAGGCGATCAGACCTGTCCTCCTCCCACATCCCGAGGAGCTCATTGGCTCCCTTATAGCCGGACTTATGGGCATGACGAGAGAGTACATCCATAACTTCCTCATAACTTTGGCTTGAGCGAACAGCTTGAAATAGCATCATGAAGGATTCACCATTCCTCCTTACACGAGGAAATGCCTTGAGGATCGACAAATAACAGGCCTTACGGGTTGCCCATGTCAGAGTTGTCCCTTCAGGGTGTCCACTCAGCTTCGTAAAAATTTTTCGTTCCTTCTCAAGCAAGGATGTAACCTTCCCTCGACCCCCCTGACCAGCGAGCGAGGGAAGAGTGGCCCACTCCTCCAATAAGCCGACCACTGAGAGTTTGGGATCGGTCAGGGATTGAAACTCTTGTTTGGCTTGTACGACCTTACCTAACACCCGGGAACAAGCTGCCATCCAGCGAGGATAATGGGTTTCTATAGCCTCCCTCTCCTCGGCAGAGAGCCCTTTTCCCGACTGAGTAAGATGAGTCCATGCTAGAAGCTCGCAAGAACGATCTATTGTGCCTTCCTCAGTGAAAACTTCCTTGAGGAGTTCGCTCTTGATCTTCTCCGCCAAATCCCTTGGCCAAAGATTCACATAGGCCCACAGTTTCAGAGGAGCCGTACACCCACATGACTGAGCCAGAGCAGCAGTCAGTTTCTGATCTACTCCCTCAAACGTCCAACGCTTCGCAATGTCGGACAGATTCTTCCCGCTAGCCCTGACGGCTGCTCCCAAGGAATCACTGTCCTGACGGATGGCGTCACGATGAGGTAAAATCTCCCAGTCAACACACAAAGCGGTTAAGCTATGCCCTACTGGGGACCCAGCTCGGTTTGAGAAGAACAAAGCACTGTACCCAGCACAGTTAGAAGTAATACCCAAGATCCTCGAAGCACATTGGGCGGGAGGTAACGTAGCCAGAGTATCCCAGTCTAGAGAAGGCAAAGTCTTCCTCGCGGCCAAGCGAACGGCTCCCGCAAGTGCCGGGCTCACCAAGGTAGGCATCCCACCTACCCCGGCACGTCCACCATGTAAGTTTGCCTGCTCACTGGGAGAACTCGACATAAGGAGAGATGGGTTAGTGAAAAAGAGATGAGCGATGAACAAAACGTGACGCCATCGAATCGTCTATCGATCAAGCTAATGGCGTAGCGAAAAACTG